AGCTTCACATTAGTAACTAATACAACATTGTAATCTTGTTTCGAGTCCAACTCAATTTTCCTTCATGTACAAATGTGAATCGTCATAGATGGAAGTCAAGACAGGATAGAACGAATTATGTGAGCAACCAACCATTGCAACTTATCAAATTTGAGTTTGGACTGTGTTATAAATTAACTCACATGATGTAGAGAAAAATATACACAGAAAAGAGTTAAAAAAAAAAAAGAAAGGGCTGCCAAATGTAATGAAGGAAGAATGAAAGAATAGGGTAGGAAAATGAGTGCGTCTATTGTGTAGAAAGAGAATAGCAAATGAAAGTAACAACAAAGAAACCGATTGCTATGTTAATTATGCTCAGAAGCTCTGACACCACTTGTTTGAAATAACCAAAATATCTCTTGTTAGAAGAAATATTAATATGTCCGGATCACTGTTACCAATGTTAGAAATACAAGAATTATGTATTGTTTGAATACCACTTGATGAAACCAACAATCGGAATGAATTGTTAAATTATATGACAAATAATGAAGTATTAGATCAAGTAAAAGAGGATCAAGTAATGGAGAAGAGATAAAATTTCAATGAATTTTATAATTCTAGTAATCTATTTTTTCACAATATAAAATTGTATAGAAGAGCTTAATATTTATACGAAACATGTAGAGGATGTCTAAACCCTTCTAATAGAGTTGTTGATGAAATAGGATACTAAAAAATCGAGTGCAAAACAAATTCCAATTCTCAAAGGGTTTTCAAAATAGAACGTCAACTTGACATACGACTACAATAGCATTCCAAGCTAATTTTTCTTGACATGTATTTCAATTAGAATTTTTCAATTACTTTAACAAGAAATTTGGATCACACCCAAATTCTAACAAAGCAATTACCCAAATGAGTGTAAAACGTTTGAGTTAAAAATTGAATGCTAAATCATTTCTTTGACAATGCATGATAATTACTACTTTTATCCCAATTTAATTTTATAAATTTTGAGTTAAACCTACAACCACAATTAAGCATATATTTTAATATGGTATAGATTGTGATGGGTCAACACATGGAAACCACATGATCTCTGGGGGTGTAATGGAGACAAATTATTGTCTATCAGCGAGATAGAGATGGTTTAGAAAGTCGTGATACACGTTTAATTGCTTCTTTTTTGCAAGGGAAGTGCACGAACATGGAGAGACCATTAATTCTTTTTTTTTTTTTTCCTTCTTTTCTTTTGTTTTATTTAAATGGGGGCATATTCGTCATTTCATACAAATTTATTGTGAAAAATAAGAAAATTGGGTGTTCTGCACCACTAAGGTTTAATGTCCCGAAGATTTTATAGAATAAAATTATTTGTTCTATATACTAATTTAAGAAAAAGTTCATTCGAATAAATAATAT